ATCAAACGACGTGAGAGAATTACAAAAACACACAGCGCCGGACTGCCGACTTACGGAGGGGGAACCCCGATATCGTGTGGGGTCTCACCTTGTGTACCCGTCGGCTTGGCTGGTCTTGCTCCTCGTTAGACGCAGAAGACTTATAGACTTGGTCCTTGTATGGAGGGACTTAGGGGCCAAGAGTGGATATGCTTCACTCGGGCCCAGGGTTTCTTGGGCTAAATCGACTGGGTCGAGAGCAGTGCACCTACCCCTTCGGTGACTAACGGTTTCTTGGTCTTTCGACCCCTCTCTATTGTTCCCGTAGGAAAACCGCTTCCTGTAGCGGGTGTTGAGTGTTTTGACACTTACTTGACACCTCCGGCCAGCTATCCTGAGGTTCAACTTGCGTAGCTTATGCCGTCTAACACCTGCTGACGTCAGGAGGCCAAGGGGTATCCCGCCCGGAAGAGGTGGAGCGACGTAGAAGCTAAGAGGAGGCGCTTGGAGCTGCCACGTGTAAAGCAAATTCGAGTGTGTTTATTTATCGTATACTTTGTATGCTTTTTCTTGCCTAACTCTAACCCTTTGCTCTGGTAGCGCCACGCGTCGACTCTTGGAGAAGGAACTGGCTCCTTAGTATCTGTACTTTCTGTACCCTTCGGGGTTCCATGTACCGTTTCTGCATCTTCGGGCATTGGGCACTGGGCCCTGTACCCTGGGCCCTGTACCCTGGGCCTTGTACCCTGTACCCTCAACCTTGTACCCTGTACCCTGAGCCCAGGACCCTGGGCCCTGTACCTTGTACCCTGGGACCTGGGGCATGTGCTGGCTCTGCACGTCTGGGTCCTTATATTCTTAATAAGGCTGGGGCCTGGTGTGAGGTTGTAGATCTGCGAGGCCGTGTCGTGGTCACTCCCCCGAGAAGTTACAAGAAATTTTTTGCTCTCTGTTCCCATTTCCTTTAAGCTCTGATTTCCTTGGCACTTCACCACATAAAACACATCTACTCAATGTGGCTGGTGCATTACTGAGCCTGTGCTGTAACGCCATTCACTCTAAGAGCTTACCACTGGTAGTGTTCACTACTGTGTACGGGATGTCCCGTTCACGCATTAGGATCGGATAAAAGCCATCTATCACTTCTATGTACGAAAAGATGGTACTTTTAGCCATACCATCTATGATTAAGTCCTTTCTCGGTATCGGCGCTTGCGCCGGTATCGTTGCAGCGCTCAGCTTATTGAACGCGTGCACTATCCGCCACCCTCCTGTGGCCTTGCGCCACAGAAGGTCAGAGAGCTGTTAGGTGAAGTTGACTCCCTCACATGACTTGCATCTAGGCGATCGGCAAAGAACTTGTCGATCGCCTCGACCTGTACCCGAAGCAGTGGCCACTGCTTCATGACCCAAGATTTTGTACCTGGAACAAGGTCGATCTCGTGTCGGGTGCCTTTATCCTTTAAAGTGTAATGTTCCACATTGCACATACAGCATTAACAGAAATAAACAATTATATTTGTAGGCAGGTGTGTGCCCGAATAGCGGGCACACCATGGTCTGTATTATTGGTTTAGTATTGGGGCTTAAGACCCAATATGGGCCAATGATAATAAGCCTGAAATGTTTGGTTTCCTAAAGGCGGGAATACTGTCGTATATATTACGACTAAAGAATCCTATATAGTACGAACTAAAACAAAAACTTAAAATTCAGAGATAAATATACTTAACACCTAATACTTGGGCTTGAATCTTCCTCAAGCTCATGTGTGAGCTAGTGACGGTACGTTCTAATCCCGTTACACCTGGTAGCACTTAGTAGTCCTACCTATGCCCTAGTTGAGCGAATTGTCTTACTTTGACGCTATAATTTATTTCTAGAGCACGCGACCTTCCCCCATCTCACTGATTCTGAGAGAAATGCCCTTAATCGCCTCGCGGCGATATCGGGAGAGGCATTCGTCGCGTCACTGATGAGATCAGCGACCCCTCATGCGCAACGTCTCGCCATACATGAGTTTATGGCACGCGAGCTCGCCGAATCCAACCGGTGAAATTTAACTCCCTCGCGCCCTTCACGTAATGAGACCGTGAAGATGGAAACCTCCTCCTACTCTGGAGAAGGCAAGGACCGGTTGTCGCTGAATCGGTGGTTTCGAGAAGTTGATATCGCAATCACCTCGAGGCATCCCGAGGCACCACAAGCAACGATCAGCTTCATCCTTACCTGCCTTAATGGACAAGCCAAGAATGGTACCTTGGTAAGCTTGTTGTGGACGAGCACGCGTTCCCTACCCTGGATGGCATCCAGGAAGATCTTCGTCTTGCCTTCGAGCCACAGAAAGAGGAGAAATTGGTGCGATCAAGATTCCTCTCTATGCGACAGGGTATAATGGCGATGCACGACTACGTGTAGATGGACAGACATCTGCCATCGTGTATTACCACTCATCCTATGGACATGTACATGCAGGTTAATGTCTTTGTGGATGGTATGCGTGAGGGGCATACCCGCTTATTGCTCGAGCGCGCGTGGCCTGCCACATTGTAGTAGGCATTTGCAATTGCCCGCTCTGAGGCCTTTAAGGAATTCCAAACCCTCGTTCGTCATCTTTCCCTGGCCTTCTAGTCCGGAGCTTATGAAAATCAACGTAATTGAGTCGTTAGGTGACCGACGACATGTCACTCGCTATAACGGTGACGCTCATACAGGGCGTCAGATGGTTTGCCTTCGTTGTCGAAGATTAGGGTATCGCAAGGCTGAGTGCAGCGTGTTAGCGACGATATCGGTGCATGTATTGGACGCCGATCATGAGTGTGTTGTACCGCCGCTCATCAAAAACCCGGTCGGACAAGTATGTGCAGGTCGCCCTACTGGCTGAAATGAAGATCCGGATCCCCCATTGGGAGCCCAACGTTCCAGCCCTCCTGCGCTGCTTGCACGGTCAAATGCCAATGGTGATTCACTTCTGATTATTGTCAGATTTTTATGTCGCCGATGTCCGGCAACCCTCCTGGATCCAAACGGAGGCAATTATGTAAAGGAAGATGGAATTTAACGCAGACCGTAAAATTCATATACAAACGTCCAGATGTTTCTTCAACCGAGTTTCCAGCGTCTGCAGACGTATCACCACCTTCATCATCTTTTCTAATAGGAATTTGCCAGCAGCAAAATCTGACGCGTCACATACGACGCTAAACGGTAGTTTAGGATGTGGTAAAGTTAAAAGTAGGAGTATATAAACGGGTTGCTTTAACCGCATGAAAAGCGTCCTCGTGTTCGGCATGTCAACAGCATTTAAAATCCTTTTGAAGGAGTCTGGATAATGGCTGAGCCAATTTAGCGTAACTTTTTCTTTACTTATGCAAGTAATTAGCAAGGCCAAGCCATTTACGCAAGTCCTTCTGAGACTATGGAACAGGACAATCGAATATGGCCTTGACCTTAGCGGGATCCGTTTAAAGGCCTCCATTCCCAATAAAGCACCCCAAAAAATTCTCTTCGGAACCGAATATGCACTTAAATGCAGTAGCATAGAGTCTATTAGTGTGCATGCACTCGAGTGGTCCGTCAGCAAGTTTGCAATAACGTTGCATGTGGCATCTCAAACCGTGATACTAGACGGGATAAGGGAAAAACAGGATTCACGAAATAGTTGTTGGATGCGCCTGAATCAAACAACGCTGGGAGTGGTCACTTCATTTTAGCAAAGATCAGACTGATAATAATTAGCTTCGAAATGTCGCACATGGTGGTAACATTGAAGTGAGTGCGAATCACTGTGAGCCTAGGAGACCGATCTGCCACTTGAGTATTCGGTGCTCCATTCCTACCAGTAGGGTGCTCGTTCCTACTGGAATCGCTCAATGCTGGCGGGTCCACCGAAGACACAGTATCTCCTCGTGAGATAGCCGTGTTCATAGTCACCGGCGCTGGTGCTCGACAGGCAGCCGCACGATGGCCTGTCTTGCCGCAACGAAAACACTTTAAGGTGTTAGGATTGCGAATGTAGCGGACTAATGATATGCCGTGGGACGAGGGGATCCTTTTCGTCGGGTTCAATTGCCTCTGGGCCAGACGTTTGCAGATGTTGTGAAGCTGCGTGCAAGTATGACGACGCAATAATGTAATCTTCACGAAAGACGAGGGCAAATGCCTTCTCGAGGGACTTTGACTCAGTACGTGTGAGGAAATAACGCGCCATGCCCTCCTGTATACTAAAAAGCAACACATGGACTTTTGAGGTAATGTCAATTGTCTGCGTGATAATGCACGAAGCAAGGTTTCGTTTCTTCTGCACGTAGTCACGCATCGACAGCCTGCCCTATCTGAGTGAGAAGAAGTCTGCACGCAAGCGAGAGTCCATTCCATGGTTTTGCCAACTAAAGACGAGACAGCAGGAAATAACCTTGGCTGTCGGAGCGTCAATCAATCTTGACGCTGTCTCAAAGTCAATTTCACAAACTAGGGAGACGATATGGACCGTCACCGGATTATGTTGACGTCTACATCTTGATAGCGTCATGATGCGAAGTACGCGAGGGAGTCAATACTCGTCGATTCGCTTCGGCGAGCTTGCGCACCATAAATTCTTTTAATGGCGTCACGCTGAATATCGGACATCTTTGTGCTCAGCAGCGATGTCACGATATATTCACAAGACACCGCCGCGAAGCGGTGTAGTGCCTGCCACTCCACCGAGGTGAGATGTGGGAAGTCAGAATGCTCCATGGAGCAATCGAAGGTTCGTCCATGTTTGTCTCAATTAGGGCCATCGGAAGGACTACGAATTGCTACCAGGTGTAATGGGATAAGTGCCCGTTACCGTCTTACACTAAAAAGGCGTTAAGGAAGCGCATTAAATTAATTCGTAAATATATCTCTGTTATTATATTATTTTTGGTTAATTCGCTTTAAGGGCGAATGTGATCTTAAATGAAGGTCGATTTGTTATTGGCTTATAATTGGGTATGGACCTCCTATTACGTATTAATCGTCCCCTCAGTCAAAGCATAATGACAAACGATACACGTAGAAGCACGTCCTGCGTAATCCGCTGGGGTCTTTTGAAGACGCTGGCGCTCGTGTTGCTTCTCCTCGGCGCACTTACGACAATCCTTCGGATCGCGGAAATATCGAGTATCATTTCTTTAAACGCGATGGAATCGACAGTAACACAACTAAAGAACAACCGTGTAAAACGTATTGAAACGCCCTATGTCTATAAAGATAAAAAGATTCAGCAAATGTGCTTTACTTCTCGAGATATGGGAATTTTTTCAGCCATACGCCAAGCAGCCAATAATTTCTGCATGGAGGGAGGGTGGGATCGTGCAAAAGAGGGTCCAGTAAGTATAAAGAAGGCAACAAAAGTGTCGCTTTATCAAGTTGAGGGAGGAATTGAAACGGCGATATTTCAAAACTTAATGTTGGATTTTGTGGGTGTAGCCATCTATCGTCCTATTAAAACTATGGCACATGACGGAGGACGTCATGATCCGAGATTTGTCTTTAATCTGAGATTGATTAATTGTGTATGTGATGAACTTGCTGAATATTATAGTAACCGTCTAGGATCTCAAGAAGGTAGCATACAACAGATTTGGTATCAAAGGTTAGTGTCGCTACCGCAAAATTCATATCCAATGGCGACCATTTGTTCTCCAAATACGAGACGATCGGAGTGGGATTTTGTCAAATATCCAAGAAAAGGACCAGATTATAACGAGACAGTGGTGTTTGAAGACCCCGTGGTGCTCATAGCACGTAGAGACGACCATAACCCTTTTTTTCAGATTGCGGCTGCGTTTAACGTGTGGATTATGTTCAAGGCACTGAATTGGGATATTACCAAGACCCGTGTCATTCATTTGGATGCTGGCTATCCTACACCGATAGATACATTGCACAAGGCTTTGCTAGGGCCAAACCATGAGATTGTTGACGGAGCGACGTTAATGGGTAAACGCGTGCACTTCCGTGGCAGCGTGTTACTTGCACCTTATGAGAATACGGGTCCTATGATGCAACATTTGACTGATCATGAACCGTGTCATGAGTCGGAACTGATCAAGACATTTCGTGCCGAGTCTCTTCAAGCCCTTAATATAACACCGGATATTGAACGCGAGCTTGGCGTTACTAAGATCCGGTCACTAATGGTGACGGTAATTAGTCGTCGGCCATATGGGGGACGTATCATGCACCGCGTCTGGGAAAATGAGGATGAGGTAATCGCGAGCATGCAGGCTGAGTACAAGGATCTAAACGCGGGGTTTCGCTCGATCGACTACGTAAACTTAACGCTACACGAACAGATAAAAAATACCATCGAGAGCGACATGATCATTAGCATGCACGGTGCTGGTCTCGCGAATGTAATTTGGACACGTCCGATGACTACAGTGGTGGAGATTTTCCCGAAGCCGAAGAAACGTTGGGGTTACCGAAATATGTGTCAGTTCATGGGTTGCGACTGGCACCAATTTCGCGGTGGTCAGGACATTATTTTTAACAAAGACGACCTAAACGATGTGAATAAGGTCATCCCGTACGACGAGTGGATGGCTTTCTTCCACCCGTTATTCCAAAAAGCCTATGGCGCTTTTAACGAGCAACAAGCATTGTTACGCGGAGAAGCATCGTAAAAATAGCGGTTATTTGCGCAGACTATATACTCCAGCTTTCACTAAGACTTGGATTCTAGATCGCCATGGAGGATGAACAACGCGAGCATTGGCTTATTTTGACGAAGCAGTAAAGCGAAATAGTACGAATGTGACCTCAATCAAGAAGAAGCCCTTGGTAAGGTTATACTTGGAGTACTTGAATGCAGGGCTGTAGAGTGAATGAAGCGTTACTCTCTCTTTCTTACGTTTGTTCAAGTACTTCATTAAACCATATGTGAATTGCATTGATATATATTCTAACGTTGACAATTACGTGTCGGGGTTTCTAATGTGTATGTATGTGTGTTGCGAAGTATTGCAGGTGCTAGCGTCGTAGCAAGTTCTGAATTGGCAGTAGCAACTTAATCTGCCTCAAAATAAAGTCCTTCAATACATGAAGGTCTCTTGAGTATTAGCATTGTGCTGGTGGTACTGAGTAATGTTGATGTCGTTGTGCACCTGTGCAATGTACTGCTTCTCTTCGAAATGCATCGTGCACAGGTGGTCGGTACGTTCGTAGGCCGGACGTGCACAGCCCTCCATGGCGCAGCGCTTGCCACCACCGTGGGCCCAGCAAACACCGTTGGAAACGGAGATAGTTGTGCAGCCAAGGGAGGCGCAGAGTGTACCACCGCCATGGGACCAGCAGACACCTTTGGTCTTGGCGCGGTTGGCGCAGTCCGGGACCTTGCACTTGACCGAGCCACCGTGGCGCCAGCAGCGACGTGCATGTTTGGCTCGACTTGTGCAGCCCTCAACTATGCAGTACTTGCTGCCTTTTTTGACGACCGTGCCATTTGCGAGCGCTATTCCAGCCTTGCCTGATACTTTCGAGCTACCATTGGACACACTGATATTCTGGAGCCGGCGGCGTTTTGCGATTTTGCATTGACCAGAGGGAGGTGCCACTACTGGAGCAAATGTCTTGTTTGATGATCCTCGCTGCGGCGAAGTCCATGGGAACGAAGGCAACAACACTGGCTTCGCGATGACCTTGTCGTTTGACAGGATGAAATCAAGAGAGCACTTGTTGACCGGCTTTGATTGCAATTTTGGTTTGAGGCCAAGCAGCTGTGGCATCTCGATGAAGCTTTGCTGGGAAAGCGGGAGGAATGTGCGGAAGGACATCATTATGGCGATATAGGGAGGGGATCGTTGTACTCCTGTGGTAGAGTGGAAAAATTGAGATGTGGGATTTCTGAGCAGTGGACGTGAGATCACCGAGAGCATTTTGTGTGCTGGGTTGATTAACTGTTTGGTGGCGAAGGGACCCGAAAGGCGTTGCTTGACATGGAATATTCCACTTGACATGCGTTATCCGTTGCTGGCGTCCTTTTTGTTATCGCCTGGCCTCGTGGTGTCATAAGGTCAGCACTGTAGCAACCGTGCCGCTCCAAAAACTAATATGCAGTCCCGACCACAACAGACAAAGCAAACGGATGCCTCGACCGATAAAATGTTACAATCAGTGTCAACCCTTCTAGTCAGGAGCATGCTCGGTGTATGTATATCGACATGTATCGCTTGGTTTCTTCCTCCCTATCAGCGGAAGCAGTTTCTTACGCGCTTTCGTAGACCGTTTTTCTCTTGTAAGTAGAGGTCAGTCCAGGTCGCTGTTGGCAGGGCGGACCAGACTACTTGGTCGCGACTGGTGCGCTATTTGTCTTTAGTATTGTGCGCGAAGAGGCACGAAACTGAACTTGAAGTTATAGTACCACTCCGACCGTTGAATCGTACAGCTTCACGTACTGTACGTGCACGTACATGTATATCAAGTCAACGGTAACCTGGGTCGTTGAGACAAGAGACGCGAAAACGATACTAGGGGCGAATTAGCAAACACCATGATACTGGAGTGTTGTCTAGGGGCAAGTTGCAAAGTGTGTGTCATGTTTCCAGTGAAAAACGAAGAAGGTGTCAACCTAATGATAGGCCGGTCACAAAAGTCGCAAGTAAAGAAGTTGCTTTGTGCCAGGAATGGCTTCGTTGTTAGCACATACGGGTAAAAAAGTGGAGAACCATCATGTTCGTATGAACAGGAGACTGGAACAGGATGCTCTTCCCTGCGTCTAGCAATTGAATGCTAGTTTGTAGAGGATCGTAGCTGCCTCGCTCGCCATCGTTTTGGTCAGTCGTGACCACTTATTGTGAAGCAATTCGAAGTTCCTGTAGGTAGCCGTTACTAAGTTTGTGCTTGGAATGTGCAAGCTGACCTCCTTGAAAAAGTCGTCGTACGTGACCGCGCAAGCCGTTAAAGTCCTTTTCTTCAAGTTTCGACAAATGCCTCTTCCTGACCCGATATCTCATTTCTCATGGGCGCATATACGCAGCAGCTTCAACCAATTCTCGAATTTGAAATGCCTTCGCACTGGACGCAATCAGTGCTGATGTGGTTGCCGTGCCATCATTAATTCATTAAGCTTCCTGTAGCTATTCCTAGGATGAAGTGACGCTATGAACAATGACAAGATGACTTGTTGTTGGTTTGTTTTCGTATGTAATACGCAACGTTAATTGCACTTTGCCAAGCTGAACTTTTGTGGTCCGACCTCAGCTCAGAAAACTGAACCTTGAAACGACCCGAGCACGATGTCTTCTTAAACTGACAGGCGACACGGGAAGTTTCCTACAGGTTTTGTCTATAGTCTTGCGGGGCATCGGAGTGGTGACAGCTTGTTGTTTACTTCAGGAAGGTAGAAGTACAGAATAAGCGCTTCGAAGATCCACGAGACTCCGTGCTGCTCTAGCGCAGTCTTTTGTGTCTTAGTAAATCTGTTATTGCCGAGAGAGCTCTTGGCGGCACTTTGACTTGAGATGCAAGTTTTGTGGCATGTCCGGAATTTCGATCCAAGATAACCGTTTTGCTCCTCATGCAATTTCTCGTTCTCCTATCAATATCTGCAACGTCTTTTCGAAACGAAGCAGCTTTTGTGCGTTGTACCTGCCTATGTATATGGATTCATATGTCAAGAAAGATTTTCTGGTTCTGACAGACGGGAGGTGTCGACGGCTTCGTCTTCGTCGTGAGACGTTAGTAAGTAGGTTGTGGTGACGGACGCAGATGAACCTGACCATTTGCACGAAGAAAGTTATACGGACGAGAAACCCGCTTCACCTTTCGTTCTTGTATCAGCCCAAAAACGTACGAGTTTATCTGTTGGCGACAAAAAATGTGTCATCACGCACGATGTAGCGGAGCTGCACAGCTCTTTAGTCAGAGGAAGACTTTAGGCTGAAAGCCTCCTAGTTTTAGAGAACTAAATAAGTTTACGGCTAAAAGCCACTTCGTTCTAAGGAACTAAATCATTGACTTAAAAGCTACCCGGTTCTAAGGAGCGAGGAAAGAGACTTTTAGTCTGCAAGCAATAAGCTGAAGGTTCAGGGAACCAACGCATAGTGCAAGAACAAGCTAGAAGCTTAAAGGTTCAAAGAACCAACGCACGAATTGCACAAGAGAACAAGAGAACAAGTCAGAACGACTTGCGATCATTAGCTCAAAATGAGAACTGATTTTATTTATGCTTTAAGATTTTGTAACTAATCCTACTCAAAGTACCGTACACTAGATTAATCACTATAATAGTAATTATAATATGCAGAGTTCCTCAGTGGACGACGTATCGTCTAAACATCTGTGTATGATGTACTTAGTACAGCGTTATCGATTATCGAATCCTAATCGATAAGATACGGTATTACCGAATACCGTATCTGAACGCTCATACTTCATACCTCTCTAAAGAGAAGTATCAACATGCATTATATGCAATATAGAAACTTCAACCGTAAACTTTTCGAATGATGTTCCAACCGTTGTATGACCCCGTTACACCTTCCCCCACCAGACTGACGTTCCCATAGAATGTCATTCGACATCTTTCCCTTTAGAGGTAGTGCTTTAGCGAACGATAAATTTTTACGTTTTGTTCACGACATATAACATGACGCCACCTGGTACTGAGTCACAGACTCTACGGGACCTTAGCGAAGGCGACCTTGACGAAGCGGTTGATTATGAAAGTGACACCGTCTTTGTGGAATCCGATGGTTCCCCTTAGCCACCCTTACGGGTGAAGAAGACACCGAATCCGTTCCTTGAACGTGGTGCTGCAGATGCGCTAACAGCGTTACGTGACCCGCCTGACGTATCGTCAACGGCGACGGTTACTAACCCACTCGACGAGAAGCAACAGCGGTCCATCGACCAAGAGGAAGGCGCCAAGCGCCGGACGAAGAATATGACAAGACTGCAGGACCACCGACAGTACAGGTTCAAGCCACCTACAGTGGAAGAACGCCTAAAGGAAGCATCTGGGCATTCCCTTTCTGGTTGGACCATTAGGCCTGAGGCCCTTTCTCCTGAGGATGTTGCCACGCGCACGGCACTTCGACAACGATATCTGGAACCCCACATCACTACACAAAGCCAATACTTGGCATGCCTTATAAGGCAAGTGCGCGGTGCGCCAGTCCCTCCCATAAAGGGTGTTCCCATCCTTCTGTTCGCGGGGGAAACCGAAGAAGAAGACACGGCTTTCAGCCGCTGGGCGCATTATGCGCGACGTTTAAGCAGCATGGGGGCCCTACGGGCAAGTGCCGATGTGGCAGATATCCTTCTTGAATGAAAAAAGGGTTACGATTACGCTAAATTGAAGGCCCGGGGAAAACTGAAATTCCAACGAATGCATTATGCGTCTGCTGCCCAGCACCCCAATATCTCGGCTACTACTGTAGCCACGAGTTCACGACAGGCCGAGGCCGCTAACTCGCCTACCCCCACCACTACTGGTGAGAAACGTCACCGCCAACAGGCTGACCCTGCGCACGACGCTTAAAAACGTCCACGGCGTATGGGCAATCCTGCCAAAGGGGAACTTCGAACTCCCATGAGTTCCACGACTCGGGATATCCCCGACACTTCACCAGATACTGGTTTTTACCTGTTCCAGCGACTCGAGGCGGGAATTCATCGTCTGCACAGCCTCACGGAGAGACTACACCTCTTGAAGTAGCTCGGCGTCCGATACAACGGCCTCCTCCGGCTTTGCTTGATGGGAAGGGGAATCTTCAGTTTCATGTGGAACGTCTACTGCATAATCGTCGCCGCCATCGTTGCGAGAAACGCATTTACCTGTTTCCTGAACAGTATTAGGGCTGACATCAACAAGCTGATCGGCAACATCTCTCTCACCAATCCCTGAACCACTTGGTGGTAGAGTTAACGGAACGCGTGTGTGTGTAAGGCCATTCACATAGAAAGGAGTGTAGCCGGTAGAGGCGTGCACGGAGTTATTGAGTGCAAACTAAACAACAGGGAGCATAGAGATCCAACGATTAGGCGTTTCAGCACAAACGCTGCGTAGGCTATCTTCAACAACGCGATTTACGCGTTCAGTTTGACCATCGGTCTGCGGATGATCCGCTGTGGACATGTCCAAACGGGTGCCCAGCACCTGGAAGACGGACTTCCAAAATTTACTCGTAAAACGCGGATCACGATCAGAAACAATTGCCACTGGCAAGCCATGTTGGCGAAACACCCGATCGATAAACAGCTCCGCTGTACCCATACCATCGATCGAATCTGGCACAGCCGCTAAGTGAGCCATCTTGCTCAAACGGTCAACAAAGACCACAATACCTGTATTGCCCTGCGAATCGTTTGGTAGGCCAAATACAAAGTCCATACTAATGGACTCCCAGCACCCAGTGGGAATAGGCAAGCTAGCCAGCGGCGCTGCCGAATGGGGCCAGGGTTTCACCCGTTGACACGTTTCACACGTACGCACATATGTGCTCACCCATTTATATAATTTGGGCCACCAATAACTTTGGCATACCGCCCCATAGGTCTTTTCGCGACCCAAATGACCACCGATGGCGGTGTCATGTACTTCATAGAGGATACGACACTTCAGGTCCTCGTCGTGAGGGACCACAATACGCGGAGGATCCGCCACATCTGTACGATAGTACAACAGCCCCCTGATCGATAGAATATCGATGGAGGCTCGCACGTGATCGTGCCGACAACTTAGTGTACGAATCTTCAAACTACTCACTGCCAAGAGCATGTAGCAACGATATACAATGATCATCTATAGCATACATCGAATGAGATCAATGATAGA